AATCTGCCCTGATCTCAAGCAACAGAACCATGGGCTTATACCACAGAGGGCCTTTTCCCAGATGTGGCTTTAGCATGCTGCTGTTGACTCCTTCTTGGAGGGTGATGGGAAGTTGTTTGATGTTATGAGTCTGGGCCTAGCCCATGAGATGGGGCCCTGAAGCTCTTAGCAAAAACCACCTCTGGGGGAATGTGAGGTACATCCTCTGTTTCTGCCATTTATTGGGGTTCCTACTGCTCGCCTGGGGGCACATGACTTGGGTTACACTCACAGTAACACCCGGAAAAGCAGTCAGTGTGGCCTTGGGAGAATTCCATCTGGGCTGAGGATTCTTTGAGCCCTGAGATATTCAGGGCCTGTGCTCCCCCGGGAATGGGAGTGACTGTCCTGCTCCTCTTCCTTCCCGGAGCATGGCCCATTCTGCTGGGGTCTTATGTGCCCTTTGTCCCTGGCCCAGTTTGGAGGCAGCCCTGTGTCCTGTGCTGTGGGACTGGCCGTCCTGGAGGTCTTGGAGAAGGAGCAGCTCCAGGCTCATGCCGCCCATGTGGGCAGCTTCCTGATGGAGCTCCTTGGGCAGCAGAAAGCTAAGCATCCCATCATTGGGAATGTCAGGTGAGACTCTGGGGGCAGAAGTCACTGCCTACTAATGAAACACCTGCCAAGGCCCGGCAGGGTTATCTCCTTTCACCTCATGACAACCTGGGATGGTGGGGATTTTCAGCTCTACTTTATGGGGGTAAACTGATGCCCCAAGATGGGCAGTTGCCCAAGATGACTGTTCCAGAGGGAGAAGAGCCAAAATTCAAAATGAGCTTTGTCTGGCCCTGAAACCTCATGTTAGTGTTCACATGGAGGGCACCTTCCCCATCCAAATTATTCCCTGGAACTGTTCAGCCCCTCTGATGGCTCTCCTCCAGCTTCCCCAGCAGGCAGAGTACGAGCCCTGGTGGAAGGCGAGAGCTGGGACTGAAGCCACCCAGGCCTTAGATGTTACTTTCTGCTCCAGGGGCGCTGGGCTCTTCATTGGTGTGGACCTGATCAGAGATGAGGCCACAAGGACGCCAGCAACTGAAGAGGCCGAATACTTGGTCTCCAGGTAGATTTTCCTTTAAAAAGGTTGCCTTCTGGAGCAGGAAATACAGAGGGGTCTCTGCAGAACCAAGGGCTGACTGGGAAGTGGCTACCTTCTTGCTTCCTCCTGGGTTGACTGGGGTGCAATGTCTGTGCTGCCACAGGTGAAGGGCATGCCCAACAAAGCTGTGCATGAGAGTGGCTCAGTTATTCTGTACCCAGCTTCTGCCAGCAGGGACTTGAGTGAAAGCAGGAATAGTTTCAGCCCTGAGCATGCTGCTGTGCTTTGAAAATGTCAAAAGGTAGAGCCCACCAGCCCGACAGGAAGGGTTGCTGGAGAGCAGCAGCTCTGCAGACACACTGTAGGGGTATGTGGCACAACCAGACTTGGTGCCTAGCCCCAGAGCAGTGGGTTGATGGGTGGGCAGGACTCCAAGTCCGTGTCTGGGCCTAGGGTGTCTGGATTCACCTCAGCCCTAATCTGCATGTTTCACTTGAACCCCAAGTAGCACAGAGGCCTCAGAAATCCTGATTCCCTTTTAGCTCCATTCCCACTTCTGTCCCCTCATCCCACACTTCTCCCACCACTGAAAACCCTTCTAGTGTGCTTAATGTGTGTCCTTGTTCAAATTATAACATGACCATTACTTTAATTCATGTGAATTGTTTTGGGGACCCATCTGAAGCAGCCGTCGAGTTCATTTCTCTCTGTGCCAGTACCGAGTTGAAAAGGGACACAGCCACCAGTTACCCTCCCTTTCTCCCAGGCAGCCTCAGAAATTCTGATCAGTGACCTTTGGATGGGAAGGAAGGGAGCCAGCAAGGGAGGGCTGCTTCCTCCCTCAGTCAACTTGAAGGCTGGGTCTCCAGTTCTGGGAGGACACTGCCCCTCAGGGCCAGGTGTTTCACCTGCAGTTGTCCTTCAAGTAGATGCACAAGCTGGGATTTGAACCCAGGGATATCCAATTCCAAAGGTCAAATTGTGTTCCTTCTACCATGGCTACTGTCGGTGCTGAGAACTATGGGTTAGGAGAAAGGATCCAGAAGGCAGGCTGGGAACAAGCCCCACTCCAGACTAGACTTTAATCAAAAAGGAATAAAGAAAGCATGGAGTGGGGGTCAGAGAATGTAATCATGTGAGACCCCTTCTCTCAGTGGCCAGACTATCTCCATACCTCTCCTCACTTAATCTATATCTTATCTACTTTGCCTTAAAACAAAAATCCATCCAATTTTTGTGCATTAATGACATGTCTGCCACTAATGAATGCTGAGATGCAAGGCAACAATAATGTTGGCCTGTGATGGTTAAGGTTGTCAACTTGGCTGGGCTGATTCTCAGTGGTTTGTTATGTAATGATATAATTTGGTAGTTACATAATGATGTAACTATCCTCCATTTTGTAATCTCATGTGATCCTCCATTTTCACCTAACACCAATTTTCGCCTAATAACCTGGTCTTTGGAACCTAACCATATCAGTAAGAGTGGGTGTTATTAAGTTAAAAAGTCTCAATGTGGAATACTACGGATTCTGAAGGAGCTCTGGTGACATAGTGCCTAAGGCACTTGACTGTAACCAGAAGGCTATTGGTTCAAACCCACCAACCACTGCTAGGAAAGAAGGTTGGGTAATCTACTTCCATAGTGATACCGCCTTGGAAACCCAAGGAGGGGTCGCTATGAGTTGAGTCCGACTCGACGGCACGTAGCACAACAATTCTGAGGTACAAACGGTGAGACTGCAGGAAAGGGAAAAAAGATTGGCAGGTTTAGAGAAGCCGGTGAGTGTAGAATGCGCTTTTTATACTGTTCTGTTAAGTGGCTAACATTTCCCATGTCAAAAGTTAGTCGTACTCAAGTGAGAAAATCACACAAACTACACAAAAGATTGTACCATAGATGGGAAAGGTGACTCTTACAGTGTGGCTGCTGAAGACTTAGCTTAGGGAGGGATAGAGGAGATGAGGCCCCTGCCCTAGGGGCTCCCAGCAGGTAAGACACAAGGCAGGAACCATGAAGGATGTACAGGTGTTGGGCAGGGGTAGCCAGTGCAGAAAACCAAAGCCAGGCTAGGGAAGGCCTTGAAACCATATGAAGGGATCTGGGTCTTAGGCAGTAGGTAGCAGGGCCCTGGCTGTGTCCTGTCCTCACAGGCTAAAGGAGAACTACATTTTGCTGAGCACTGATGGCCCTGGAAGGAATGTCCTGAAGTTTAAGCCCCCAATGTGCTTCAGCTTGGATGATGCACACCGTGTGGTGGCAACACTGGATGCTGTCCTGACTGGTAAGCCAGAGCCTGCACACCTGGTGGAGGGGGAAGCAGCTGATCATCCAACCCCTAGAACTCAACCTGGGGCCAACAGACCTTCCTCCCAACATGCACCAAAGTGGGCAGGAAAGCCCAACCACTGAGCCCTGGACGGTGCAAGGGGCAGAAGTGTAGGGGGCCTTACTGTCCTGGGCTGTTCCTGTCTGTGCCTCAAGAGCTCCCAAACCCCGCATGGGCACCAGTGTGGGATGCATGACAAGGACAGCAGAGACATGGAGACTGAGCCTGCTAAAACCCTTGAACATCTGTGCCGCGTCTAAGCTATCTGTGCACAGAGCTGAAAGAAAAAAGTTGCTATTAAGTCAGCTCCAACTCACAGCAGCCCCACGTGTCAGAACTGTGCTCCATAGGGTTTTCAATGCCTAATTTACGTCACTAGGTCTTTGCCAAGGCACCACTGGGTAGGCCCAAACTACCAACCTTTTGGTCAGCAGCCAAGTGCATACTATTCACACCACCCAGGTACTCCCAGAGTTCCATGAGGACCCAAAACAGGTAAAATCTAAGGGTGTGGATCAGTGTTGCCAGTGAGTGACCCCAGCCCTACCAGGTTATATTTCATTGTTATCCACACATCAGCCAAGGATCAAGAGCTGAGGGAGTCCTGACACCTACAAGACCCAGTTTGAGGTGAAGGCTCTGATGGAAGAAGGGTGTGTACAGGAAGCATGGGGAGGAAAGGCAAGATTGGCACAGAATGTTTTTAGATTTCCAGGCCATGTACATGGTCAGAATGAGGGTCCAGAAAGGCCTTTGACCCAATCACTGGACTTACATAAAAGAAGCTTAGGCACTTTAGACATAGGACCTTCAGCCAGGAAGAAGTTTGGGTGGCTTTGTGGTCTTTTCCAGACATGGAGAAGGTGCTGAGAAGCTGTGCCACACTGAAGCTGCAGGACCACCCTGCCCCTCAAGTGTTCTGCTTCTGAAGGTAGGGTGCCTGCCATCTAGGACCACAGCTGGATACTCTACCACCACCAGTTCCTTCACTGCTCAGCAAGTAGAACTTTGTCTAAGACTCAACTCCCAGATTTGGGGTGCTCCAACCCTGCTAGCAAATGCCCTAATCGAGGAGGAATACCATCACTCCAAAGTCCAGGCAGCCTATAACCATGTCTTTTTTGTCTGTAGATCCATAGTGACTGCTGGAAGAAGCAGAAAACTCTATTTCCATTGGTTCAGTTGAGGATTCCATGCTGCCCCCCAGAGACTGTGAAGCCATAACCTGGTGCTGTGCAGTGGGACACTGTGGGAACAGCCTTCACTGCACAGCTGCCTCTCAACCACCTACCCATTTCCTTCCTTTCTTCCAAGGGGGTTTACAGCCTGGGAGGGCATAGATCTTTCAGTCATTAAAGGGAACTGTTAACCAAGGATGTGGGTCCCTGTGTTTATACCTGACAAGATGCTAGCAAATGGAGAACAGAGACTCAGACCAATTGCAGCCTGATATGGTCATAAGCCAGGTCCTCCCAATGTCCATACCAAGGTGGGGCCCAGCAGCTGGAGGAGCATGCTGAGGAAGGAGGCCAGGTACAGGCGAAGGGGGACACTTGGCACCCACCTACTCTAGGCAAGAGATCTCATACACCATGGCCCACACTCACCCAAGCTTGGGGGTTTTTAAATTTTTATTTCAAAAGCTTGGATAGCTTCAATATCCAGGTCGTGGCAAAATCAGGACACGTGTAAAATACCTTACAATACATTAGATTCCCAAAAGGTACCAAAAAGTACAGTAAAATTAACACTTCCATTACAGGAAATGTATGACACAAATAATATAAAATTAAAAGGTGAAAAAAGGTGACACTGGTTTCCTAAGATACAGTTTACTCTTTACCACCAGGGTCCATAGGCCCAGGCTACAGAGTAGCAGCTGGGCACAGACCCTCCCATCTGGTTCTGGGGAACCTGGTAATAAAATCGGCCCATGATGCTGCTCGGCCTCTGATACACCACACGCTGCCTAACACAACTAGAGCTCTGGAAATAGTAAACGGGAAAGTGATTTCCAGGGGAAAATTTTAAATAAGATGCACATGGGACAGGCCATAGAAAGTTTGCCAAGTTAAATTTGGTACATAATTGTGTTCACTGATATCCAAACGGAGCGGTACAGTCAGCTGGTTGAGCCTGCTGCAGCCTCAGTATGGCTTGTAGTTATTCTGGTGGCCACCGCGTCTCTGGCTCTTCCCGTAATTTGTACTACCCTGACCTGGGGACAAGAACAGCAGTGAGAGCAGCTACTCCTTACTGAGCACTATTCACCCTGTGCCAGGCGCTTGATTCACATCCTCCAGAGCCCTAACGCTAAGTTGGAGAGTACCTTCCCCACTTTGCAGATAAAAAAAAACCTGAGGCCCAGAAGCCAGAGCTCAACTTCAGGTGGCTCCCGTGGCAGAGCCAGGCCACGAGCCCAGGCCAGTCCAACTCCAAAGCCCCTGCTGCCAATGGCCCCTGCACTGTCTGTCCTGCCTCCCCTGGGTGGCAAGTGGATGGGGCCTCCCTCTCTCCTACTTACTGTAGTCGTAGCCGGGGCCGTAGCCGTAATAGCCATAGGGCGAGTAGTCGTAGCCGCCATAGCCGGGCCCGTAGCCCTGCTGGTAGCCGTAGCCCTGGTTCCAGTAGTTGCCGTAGCCCTGATTCCAACTCTGACTCTGACCTGTGGGGGGAGCAGGGCACAGGGGCCCGTGGACCATTTAGCACACGCAGGAGCGAGGATGGAGGAAATCCTGCCCTTTGGATGGCAGGAGTTACTATGGCAACTTGGAGGCAGAAGCCAGGGGCTGCTGTGCTGGTGAAGAGGGCCCTGGGCCAAGCCTGCATCTGATACCCAAGCAGAGGGCTGGAAGGCCAGACACTAACTATACTCACTTCACTTTCTCAGATCACCCCCCTCCCTCCCTGGCAGCTTGGCCTAGAAAAAGATGAAGTTCAGGCTTTGGAGTCAGAGGGGCCTAGGTTGGAAAGAGGTGAAGCGCCTGGCACAAGCCCTACCCTCTGTCCTTCTGTCTGCCCACCCACTGGTGTACTAAGACTCAGAATAGCCACAGAGCCAAGCACACCCCATAGCCCATAACCCCCTACCCACCTCAGTGAGAAGATGCTAATGCACTCTGCCCGAGGGCCCCAGGCCAAAGACAGGGCTCTTCCATTTCAAGTCATGGCAGCACAGCCTCCTGTGCAAAGCCACATCCTAGAAAGCTGCCCCATGCCCACCTTACACTCCTGCCTGCCACCCCCGCTGCACGCACACAGAGCATCAGAGACCAGAGCGAGCCCCCAAACAGGCACAAGACTCCAGCCAGGCAGGGCCACAGCACCCATCTTCATTCAGGTCCCACTCACCTCCACTTCCACCACCACCACCACTGCCTCGGTTCCCTCGGTTGCGGTTTCCACGGCCCCCAGAGCCATACTGTTGCTGCTGGTAGACCTCTTTGGGCTGGGCCACCTTGATTTCACACTAAAAGCCAAAGGGAGAATAGGTCAGCACAGTGTGACAAGCTTGGGGTAGGGCTGGTGCAAAGACCTTCACTAACAAATGTTCACATGGTAGATCTGGCCCACCTGCTCAAAATGTATGCTGTGGGGTGGGAGGCCATATCTAGACTAGAAGCTCTTGAAACACCACCTAGACAGAACAAAACTCTCACAAGGGCTTTTTTTTTTTTTTTTCCAGCTACACCCTTTCCCAAAGAATGTCCTGGAAATGAAGAATACAGCCACAAACCTGGGTGGTATTTTCACAGCTCCATGATTACCATGTAGGGAAGGGGCAGCAGAGCCAATTCTAGACCAGTGCAGCAAGACAGATGGTGAGGAGGCAGGAGCCTGGCACCACCTTAGACCTACTAGGGAGGCCAGGGAAGACTTCCCAGATGAAGGGATGCTGGAGTTGGGCCTTATAAGATACAAAGGAAAATGAGGCATTCAACTCAAATGCCAAATTGAGGAGATCCTGCCCTGCATTTTACAGATGAAAAAACCTAGAAGCTCAGGAGTTGAGGTTGCATAAGTTCACAACTACCCCCACCCCCGGGGAACACTCCAACCACTGGTCTGTTTTTGACACAGGTCAGATAGATGCCCATGTCCTTGGGACTCCAGAGTCAATTTCATTTATGCTCAAAAATCTTCCCATGGGGGGTTAGGCAGAGTAGGTTGGTGGTCCTTCAATAAAAACTACTTTACACAGTACCACTTTAGGAACACAGTACTTCTTTAAATAAAAAAAATAATTTACCCTATAGCAAATAATATAATCTGATGTTTTCTAGTCTGTTAGATCAAAAATACTAAAAGCAACCAACTTAACCCACCATTTATTTCAAGACTCAATCCCAGCACTTTGACCAGCACTCCCTCGGCTTTCCCTTCCACCCCATTTCACATTTTGGTACACAGCAAATGGCACTGTCCATGGGTATGTGTGTACTGGGGGTTGCTAATTAACAACTAAGGATAATGCCGCACCCAACAGCCCCCCTATCCTGAATCTAACCTTCCCAATTTCCCAGCCAGGATGGAAGCTTTCACGAGCCCCACCCTACCTGTCCCACCTTATCTGGCTGCCACTCCTATTGAGACACAGAGCACACCACACCCAGGCCGCACCCTCAATTCCCAACTGCCTCCTTACCTGCCTGGTGGAATACTTGAAGCCTGCCCTGCCCTTCCATCCCCCTAAGAGTTCAGCGAAGAGTTGTACCACTCATGCATTATTTGAAAGCAAAACTGGCTCTGGGTTCAAACTGGCATGGTCCCTGGGAGCTCTGCAAAAGGTCTTTGCCTGGGATGACTAAAGCATCCACAGAGAATAGAAGGTGACAAAGATTGGGTTGAAGGAAGGAAGTGTTAAGAAAAGCTCTGCAGCAGTGCAGCCTTTACCAGAGAGGGAAAACATGAATGTCAAAGTTCTAGAGAATCTTGAGACTGCAACTGCAAACTCATGGACTTTGATTTCTAGATCCAAAAAGCTTTCACTTTGCTTTAATCCAGCAGGTGAGACTACCCATCATGCACTACTTCAAAGCCATGCTTCCTTCCTCTCCTGCATCCCTCATATCCTGTGCCAGCCTTACTAATCTAGAAGCCAAGACCTAGGACCTTGTCCAACAGACATCCACCTGCCCTAGTCAAGGGAGATGTTACAGACAAACATTAAGAGCCCAACTGGGTCCCTACAACCCACACCTGCAAAAGGCCAGCTCTTCAGCAGTAAGAGGCTGGGCATACAGACACAGGGACACATTACCTTGCTTCCACTAACAGTGTGGAACTTTTTCTCCAGAACCTTTTTCACAGGTTCCTCTTCTTTATAGGTGATGAAAACAAAGCCTCGTCTTTTGTTCGACTTCGGATCCATGGGAAGCTCAATGGCCTCAATCTGTAAACAGGCAAAGCTCAGGGTGTGTGCCTCCCCATCCCTGGGCCTAGAGGGACAGCACAGGGATAAGATGGCCATGAAAGCCAAAGAGAATGAAAAGAAAACCCTAAGGGGGTTCTGGCCAGCCAAGGCTGCCAAGGACCAGGAGAAAAACAGCCTTAAGGCAACTGATGAGTGACTGACTCCTACGAGTACACACTCACCTCCCCAAACTCGCCAAAGTACTCCCTGATCTTCTCCTCAGTGGCTTCAGGATTCAGACCCCCAACAAAGATTTTCTTCACTGGGTCCTTCTTCATGGCCATGGCCTTTTTGGGGTCAATCACACGGCCATCCAGCCTGTGCTCCTTCTGGTCTAGCACCTGTTCCAGAAGGGGTTTGATTCCAACTCAGCAGCAATGCCCTTCTGAACCATAATACTCCAAAGCATGTACACAAATGTTAATCTCTTCAAACTCTACTCACTCCCCGCCTCAGCTTTCCCAACCAAATATTGTTCAAACCTGAAGTACCCTAATGCCTATCAATCTATCTCCACCCCAAGCCTTTGCCAGACTCGACGTTGTCCCTGTTTGTGTAGTCCCAGTGGAAGACCTGTCCCCTCCAGGAGTAAAGCAGCAACAATTAAGAGCACCGGCTGGAGCCGGGCTGGAATCCTCATGCTACTCCTAACTGCTCGTAATTCCTTTATGAAACTCCTTGAATCTTGGTTCCTTCCTCTGTAAAATTTAGCTAAAAATGCCTACCTCATAGCAATCATACTCTTTTCTAACCCTCACATGTAAAGTCACAAAGCTATTATCGACTATCATCTTCCTGAGCTCTTGGTGACACACTGGTTAAGACATTTCACTGCTAACCAGAAGATCAACAGTTCAAACCCACCAGCTGCTCCAAAAGAGCAGTCTGCTTCTATGAAGATTTACAGCTTTGACAACCTTATGGGCAGTTCCACTGTCCTGTAGCATTTACTATGGGTTGGCACTGACTTGATGTCGGTGGGTTTGGTCTTGATTATCATCTTCCTGGACCATTCCAACCCATACTTTTCACTTCCTATTTAATCTCTATCTAAAAACATAAATTCTAACCTCTCTGCTTTTCCCATAGCACTTAGTCACAAGCAAAGCACACAAACTAATCACAATCTTGAATGGTGTTCTCAACTCAAATCTTATATACTAAGACTGCTGATACCCAGCTTACCTTCTCCACACTGGTTGCATCTTTGAAGAGGATAAACCCAAACCCTCTTGACCGTCCAGTGTTGGGATCCATTTTTATTGTACAATCAACGACCTCTCCAAATTTGGTAAAATAGTCTTTTAGGTCCTTTTTGCTGGTATCCCAGCTCAGGCCACCAACAAACATTTTTCTGCAATGGTAGGGCGAGACAAATGACAAGTCTTAGAAGCCAACCATGATTTCAGAGAGAACTAGTCTCCCCTAAAAGCTGTTAGAACTACTACAAGGTCACAATCACAAAAACCTACACTACCCTTAAAGTCTTAGAATTTTACTCTGAAGGATGTACATCTCCACTTCCCTACAAACTCAGGTCAGTGCTGACCCTGACAAAACTTAACAAGATTCTGCATCCCCAGGTCCCTCGTCCAACGGGAAAAAGGATGTACAACCTCATTGGGATTATAGGCCCTGAGCACTCACAAAAATAAGTTATTCTGCCTAAAATCCACTTCTCAAAGATCTAATATGATGCCTGTCTTCACCTCCTCCCAAGATCTTGCTTTCAAGGAACTAAATAGAGGCTTCCGAGGGCCACCGACCACGTTCAGAACGACTCCGCCCTCCACTGGGAGGCGGAGACAAGGCGGGGGCCCAGGCGCGCGCCAACTCCGCCCACGAAGCTTGGGCCCAGAACGGCTAGGCCCTGGGTTCGAGCGAGCGGGGTCCCTCCTCTGGGCGACTCGCCCAATACTGCCCAAGCTGCCCTGGGGCGGCGCCAAAATCGGCCCTACACAGACTAACTCCTAAAAACTCCTGCGCGAGCCGAGAAGCGGCCCGTGGCGAGCCCGGAGAGGAGACCCGCGGAGCCACCACCAGGCCCGGCCGCCGCCGCCCCTCCCCCCGCCGCGTGGCGCCAACAAAAGACGGCCCGGAACAAAGGCGGCACCCGGGTGGCCCGCCGCACATACCCCGCGTCCTCCTCGTTCTTGCTGGCGTTGATCTGGTCTCCCTCGGCGCCATTCTGATTCCCAGCCGGGGGGGCCGCGGTCCCGGTGCCGATGCCGGCCCCTGTCGCAGCCCCGATGCCAGACCCGGCTGGCGACTCGCCTTCAGGGGCGGCCTCATGTCCGTTCTCGGTGGCGCCTGTCGTCTCCATGGGTTGCTCCTCACCCACTTCCGACATGCCTAGGCCGTTGCGCGGCGGCTCCTGCAACGAGCGGCCAAATGCGGCGACACACGTCAACTAACTCTGCACCGCCTCGACCTCCCGAGCGCCCACCCGCCCGCCGGCCCACGAGCCAGGCCGCTCACCTCGCCGCCGATGACGCTGCGGGGCCCGCTTGTTCCTACCCGCCGGGGAAGGCACCGCGGGCTCGGCCGCGCTCACACTCGTGCTGCTGGGGTCGATCCCGATCCCGTTCCCGCCGCTTCGACCGCCGAGGCGCAAAACCGCGGACTCACAGCCTCCCTTCGGCCCGCGCAGTTCCGCCGCCTGACAATGCCGACTCGTGGCGCTTTTTATACTGCCAAAGCTGCGAGGCACCTCGCAACAAAACACGTGTTCATTGGCTGCACCTTCCCGTCACTCAGCCTTACGGTAGCATCTCATTGGCTGCTATGGCGCGCGCGCGCTCTAGATCTGGGCGGGCTTTGTCTTCACCTTAGAACCCGCGCGAGTTTGGGTCCCTGCTGCGGGTTCCGGAGGCCGGGAGGAACGACGGAGTTCCGGCGGCCAGCAGCCCTAGCCCAGAGGCGGAGTGGGGTTCTCAGTCCTTGAGGCCAGTCTCTCGCTCCCATGCACCCCAGCACTGGCGGCCTTGACGAAAAGAGGGAACGGCACGAGGAAGTCTCGCAGCACAAGGTCGCCGGCCAGAAGAGGCAGAACCAGGACCTGAGCTTCCGAGATTTGGCGCTTGGAGATCTCGGCCAGCCCTTCCCTTGACCTTGGTGCCCCTCACAGCCCCGCTCTCCCTCCCCTCCCGTGATGGGATAAGGAGAGCGCCTGGCGCCAACGGCGGGGAAGAACCATGACTACGGTATTTCCCGATCCTGGTCGCCCGGCACCATCTTGACGATTAACATCCCACTGGCCAGAAGGTTGGGAGTTCGAACTCATCAGCCGCTCCAAGAGCGAAAGATGAGGAAACCCTATGGAGCAGTTCTACTCTGCCCCATAGGGTCGCTATGTGTAGAATCGACCCGATGACAGTAGGTTTGGCTTTTGGTTTTATACTCTTGTAAACTTAAATCTTTTCTTAAAATTAATTCATTTTTGCTACAGTTTATTTTAAAAAAGCATAACGACTCCCGGGAATGTATTTGTTGGGGGAGGGACGCGGTGGTTAGTTATCTTTCTCAAGTACACAAAGATACAAAATCAGTTTATATCTTTTCGACTCCTAAATTTGAAAGGCCTGAGTAATCCCATGATTCCTTTTAATCATTTGGGTTTGGGGCTCCAAACGGCCCAGGATTATAACTTTGAAAGGCTGGGGATTTACCAAGTAGCAACAGAACACATTGCTGACATTTACGGGCCCTCCCGCCCCCGGCTAGATTCTTGCAGCCAGGCCCTGTGCAACAGTCTGAGCTTTCGATTTTTCCCATCTGGTCTCCTAACAACCCTCTGGTGGTGTACCATCACTGTCACCAATTTATAAATAAGAATATAGAAGGCTACAGCTGTGGCCAAGTCCACACAGCTAACTCTGCCCTAATTCAGTTAGCTAGCCAAGCTACTGTGAGGATGAAAACTGTGAGAATCACATTTGTAAAAAAAATCCAAACCTCAGGACTTCTAGAAAATCTGAAGATTTGGCCACACTGGGCTGCATTCCCCCAAGACAGTAATCAACCAGAGCTGGATCATCCACCCTCAGGTGGGCCAGTGTCCTGTGGTTCACCCTAAGGCCCACCTTACCTTTTCCCTCTTTCAGGTTAGATTCCATAACTGGAATTCCCATACCCTCAGTCAAAGCACTGCCCTGAATTCTGGCAGGAAGTTTTGTGGGGAAATCCTCAACAAACTCTCCAACCTACCTTCACCCCCAGCCCTCACCCACCTACAGAAATGAGGGCTAGTGATGTGGCCCTCAAGAGAGACCTACTAAGCCGCCCAAGTAATCACAGTGATTCAGACTATTAAATTCAAAGTCAAATAGTTTTAAGCACAGCCCCAGGACAAAACTACTGAGGGCATGGATTCACATAGTCTCCTGCACTCCTCCACATGGATTCCTTTAGCACAACTCAGAAATGCTTTCAATGACATGTCAAGTCTCAGCATAACAAGATTTGGACAGTGGTTTATAGTTTGCAAAATTCTTTTAGCAACATTGCTTCACTGGAGGTTCAAAATAGCTTTGTGCAGTTACCCACACTTTATACCCAAGTACACAAATTGCACAGCTGAAAAGTGTGGCTGCATAGCCAACACTTCAATTGGAGATTGTTTCCAGGGCTCCTGGCTGCTGTGAGCTGTGGTGGCTCTGAGTTTTGGTTCCTTGGTCTAAAATGGAAGATCTAATTAAATTATTGTGAGGCTCAAATGAGACAATGGTTTAGATAACATGTAAATTATAAAGAACTGTGAACAAATAGGGGTCAGCCTCAGCACTCACTACCACGGAGTCAATTCCAACTCATAGTGACCCTTTAGGGCAGAGTAGAACTGCCCCATAGGGTTTCAAAGGCTAACTGCCTCTTCTTTCTCCCACAGAGCAGCTGGTGGGTTTGAACTACTGACTTTTTGGTTAGCAGTCAAATGTTTTAACCACTATACCACCAGAGCTCCTTACCAGCCTCAACACAAAATGTCTTAAATTAGACCCAAGGGTGTTCCTGACTGAAGCAGGGCACTAGGGTGTTTAGAAGAAGTGGGGAATCCCTCCACAAGCATCCTCCCTCGTTTTTGGATCTTAACGATAGATCTGAAGTAGTGAGCACCTTCCATGGCAATAAGGTTCTCAAGTCAGCCAGGGGCTCAGTTACCCCTGGAAACCCTTTACAAAGTCTAGAGTATAGTACCCTGAGCTTTGGGGATTCATTTGTTGTTATGTGCCGTCAAGTCAGACCCAACTCATAACGACCCCTCCTTGGGTTTCTGAGGCAGTATCACTGTGGAAGTAGATGACCCAACCTTCCTTCTGAGGAATGGCTGGTGGGTTTGAACTGCCAGCCTCCTGGTTAGCAGTCAAGTGCTATGGGGATTCATATGTATATGTGTGCATATATATATATATATATATGTGTGTGTGTGTGTGTATATATGTATATGTATATACACACATACAACACACATACAAGTGACAAGACTTGCCTTCTTCCTTAAGAATGCCTGAGCTGAACTATTTGGTGCCTGGCTACCACTATCAATCACTCAGGGATCTATGGAGGAGATCCTGGATAGAGAGGGAGAACAATGTGGAACAAAACTCAAAATCATTTTGGAAAAAAAAAAAAAAGGCAGGGGGGGACCAGGTTTGCTGATCTGATAAAAGCCTGGTGGAACCACTGAGACTATGGCCCCTAGCTGCCTTTCAGCTTTGGTATTGAACCCACACCTGTGGGTGTATACAGTCTTCAATCTGGAATAAAGAGGACAGGCACAATGCGTTGTGACGGGGTTTTTTTGGTTTTTTTTTTTTTACACAAATTGATTTTTCTCATGTTCTCTTTTTTTTGGCACAGGGGCAGGGGGGTTGGAGGGCCCTGAGCCTGCAAGGTGGCAATGGTGTTAGTTAACTGCAGATATGCTGTGACTCTGCTGTGGCCGATTCCCACTATGGCTACTTCCCCAGATCCACTCTAGTTCCCCTGCTCTGGGGCCAGCTCTGGCTACAGCCAAAGGACTCTTTCTAAAACACAAGCCTGGTCTTGTTACTACTCTGTAAAAACCCTGGCTGGCTTCCCACTACCCTGAGGATGAAGTTCTAATAAGTGACAGAGACACTTCGGGTCACAGAAATCCATGGGCTTCCCCCAGTTCCCATCTTCCTTTGCTGAGTGGTCTGTGAGTAAAAGGGTTACTTTCAGAACTCAGCAGTTAAGACTGGGGATCTTCTCCAGACCTCTCTTCCGCTGTCCTGGGGCCCCTGAGGCCATATGTTCTACACGTGAGGGGTATATCAGGGAGAAGAGCTGTTGGACACATGTATAGACATTACACGATTGAGAAATGAAACTGGATGGTGTTAGGCCACTGAGATTTGGCAGTTTATCTGTCATTGCAGCCTAACCTAGCCTGACTATCCTATAAGGCCTGTGAGGCCAGGCATGAGCCACATCTCATCCCACTCTCCACTCTAGCCATGCTGAATTTTTTTTTTTTTTTTTGGTTTTCAGGATTTTATTGGGGGCTGCAGGGGACCCATCTGGAGAGGTGCTCACTGGGTCTTCAGCCACTCCAACCTGGGGACCTGGAGGTCCTGGGGTTGGCTGGGCACATCAGGCATGTTCCTTTCATCTCAGAGGGGTACCGGGTAGCTGTGTGAGGTGGCCTTGTTGATCTCACTGGCATACTTGGTGTAGGGGCTTTATAGAGGCAGAGTTACAGTGAGGCCCCCGATGGTGAAGGACTTGACCAGCACACGTTCCTCAGCTCAGGCATTCTTTTCTTTTTGTGTGTGTGTGTGTGTGTGTGTGAGATTTAGGTGAAAATTTACAGAGAAAATACACTTTCCATACAGCAGTTCACACACATGTTGTCTCATGACATTCACTACAATTTACCACAGTGCAACAGCTCCCCTCCCACTTCCTCCTGATAGTTACCTCTTCCCTGTGTCCATCCTTCCATGCACTCCTACCCTCTGAACTGTCTCCCTGTGCATAAGCAGCTCTTCTTTCTCCCATGATTGTTCTCTCCAAGGAGTGTACCTACCTCAGGTACATATTCAACTCATATGCCTGTCTTTTGTTTGGCTGGAAGCCACAGGAGTGGGTTCAATTCCAGACCTGAAAAGCAGCTAGGGGCCACCAGGCTTTATCAGACCAGCAAACCAGGTCCCCCCCTTTTTTTTCCCCCAAATAATATTGAGTTTTGTTCCACATTGTTCTCCCTCTCTATCCAGTATCTCCTCCATAGATCCCTGAGTGGTTGACAGTGGTAGCCACGCAACAAATAGTTCTTCAGCTCAGGCATTCTTAAGGAAGAAGGCAAGTCTTGTCACTATTTTGGTCTCAGCAGTCCATGCTAAATTTCTTTTATTTTCTGGAATCTACCAGCTCCCTCCTGCCTCTAGATCTTTGTACCTGCTATTCCCTTTACCTAGAATACTCTTTCCCAAATGTCACCTGCCAACTCTACACAACCTTCAGGCTTCTGCTTCCTCCAGGAAGTGTCTGTCACACCCCACAAGAAGGGTCCCTCTCAAAGACAGCATTAAAACTGACTGTGAACTCAATG